ATTTCACCCTGTCTCATTACTCCTTTTGTGCTAAAACCTTTCTTCTTACTGCACTTTCTTAAGAAAGTACAGAGGTTAGAGAGGTGGCTTAGCAGTTATGAGCACTTAACTGCTCTTCCAGAGAACTTGGTTTCCTTTCCTAGCACCCACATGACAGCTCTCAACTGTCTGTTACCCCAGTACCTGAGGATCCAATATCTTGTTTTGACTGCTGAGCACTCCAGGCATGCACATGATGTACATACATATCCAATAAAATGAATAAATCTCAGAAAAAGAAATTATGTGTAAATACATTCAGATTTACTGAGAACAAATCTGTAATGACAAAACCAGCAGAAAAAAATCTTAATGTTATTACATATCTTTATTTGTTTAAGTATTCCATTGAAACATCTTTGATAATATGTTCAAGACAGCAAGCTTTAAAACAAATGAGCATATGAATTATTCTCAGACACTAGCATTTTCACTTTCCAGTATATTTTTCATCCAAACAATTCTGTGATCAGCCTGTAAAATCAGAAGGTCAAGAATTTACTTTGTTCAGAAAATTCAGAGCATTCATAATGACTAGTTCCTGACTTCTGATCCCATTAATTTGAGTCATTGAAAATATTACCATGTTTTTATATTTCTTTCTCAAAATTCATTTGTTAATTGTACTACCATTGATGGTTCATGAAAAGTGTAAACATTTTTTTTTTTTTACTCAAGATAGGGCTTCTCATTGTAGCCCTGGCTGCCCTGAAACTGACTCAGTAGCCCAGACTGGCCTAGAACTCTGAGATCTGTGCCTATCTCTGCCTCTGGAGTACTGAGATTAAAAGTATGCACCTCTCTACCACCTGGCTAAAAGTGTAAACACTTGTAAAATGAAAATTATTTAAACACTTGATATAAAATGCACTTATTAAAAGCATCATTCTTAGTTTCATTAAACATCTAATTTAAGTTTAAATTTCTGCTCTATTCCCCAGACATCTTTTTCCCCCATGTTTGACTTGATCAAGAATCAAGCAAGCTCAACTAAGTAACTGTGTTTTCTGCATTTTGTAACAGGTTTGTACATGAGATCAGATGTGTGTTTTGGGGCAAATTTGGGGATGAAGAGGATGGAACATTTGTAGCTCATTCATACTTGAATTCTGTCTTGCTGATTTATTTGGTATTGGTTTGGTCATTGAAACTGTCATTTTTAAGAGACAGTGAGATAAAATATTTTAAAATTTGAGTTAATTTCTAAATTTCTGTTTGGCAAGAGTTCTTCACAACTGCCTTTATTAGTCACCACCAACTGGAGGCAAATGGAAATTAGTATTTCATGATCCATTTTGATCTGTTTATTCAGGTACTGTCAAGACTGCTTGTTTTATTTTCAAATTATCCATCAATCTGTTATCAAATGATTTTAATACACACAGAGATTATTATTACAATTCATTATTTGAAATTCAAAATTGATCTTTCTAATTTGATTTTACTATGTGTACTCACTGCTTCTGAACTTCATATTCTCATTAACTATGGTCAATTAAAAGGGAAAATACAAATATTTATGTCCTTTGTTTTTATAACAATGATCAGCACACAAAAACATTTAGAAGTAACCAGAGTTTTATTTATTCACACCTTTATTTAGCATGTTTATGTGAAATAAAGTTGAACATATTGTGCCTTTAAATCAGCTACAGTGAATATTCATCTTTATATAAATTTCTATCTGAAAGCTAAATAAAGCCATTTAAAATATCTCTTTCATCTCTTTGATATTATATTACTAGCTGGCCTTAAACTAACCAAGATTCATCTTTAATTATCTAGACTTGAACATCAGTCATTATCCCAAGGACTTTGAGTTCGGTTTCAGAGAAAAACATTGTCTGTTGTGGAATAAACTTTTCATCCACTGTGAAGAAGTGTCACTCTGGTTTAACAAAAAGATAAATGGCCAATAGCTAGGTAGGATTTTCAGGTCAGAGAGAACACAGGGAAGAAGAAGGACAGAGTTGCGAGGAGATTCCAGGATTCAGAGGAAGCAACATGGGCAGTGCAGTGTAATAAAACCACGAGGAAGAAAGCAAATTAATAGAAACGAGTTAATTTAAGCTTTAAGAGTTAGTTAGAAATAGACCTAGTCTATTGGCTGAGCTCTCATAATAAGTTTCCAAGTCACTTATTTGGGAGCTGTTTAGTGGGACTAAAAAAGACTACTAACATTGGTAATTTACAGAATGTTTGGATATTAAAGTCATTTATTTCTACTTTTTAATTGATACTTATTCTTGGGGACATTTATTTTTTAAAGAAATTCCTAAATCAATTTGAGATTAAATTATTTGTGATTAAATTCTCCAAGTTTTGAATCCTAACTCTTCTCTCACATTCTTGAAACTCTGGCTTATAATTATTCATTCATTTACATATTTCATGAAATGTTATTCCATATTTTCTTTCTTGCTTTTTGAACTATAATTTCCACTATTTGACATATTCGTTAATACTACAATGTCTCTTCCAAATCTTGTTTTTATTCATTTAAGAATGCAACTGATGCCGGGCGTTGGTGGCGCACGCCTTTAATCCCAGCACTCGGGAGGCGGAGGCAGGCGGATCTCTGTGAGTTCGAGGCCAGCCTGGGCTACCAAGTGAGCTCCAGGAAAGGCGCAAAGCTACACAGAGAAACCCTGTCTCGAAAACCAAAAAAAAAAAAAAAAAAAAAAAAAAAGAATGCAACTGATGTCTCCTTGAGAATTGCCTCAGTTGTTTTGAACAGTTTTTTTCCCATAGGACCTGATGCTTCACAATCATATGTAATTTCTGTCCATTTCCCCCAGCACCAAGAATACACATGGTACACAGGCAAGTAACACACTCATACACATAAAATAAAATAGCAAAATAAATATTTTTAAATGCACCTGGAAACACAAAACCAATATTTAAACATTTTCATATTTCATTATTCCTTGATAGTAAACAAATGTTACTCGTTTATTTCTTTTTTTAAATAATTTTTACTAAGAGATTTTCTATTTATTTTATATACCAACCACATATTCCCCTGTCCTCCCTCCTCCCGCCCCCCCCCAGTTTTCCCTCCAACCCACCCCCCATTGAATTCCATCCACCTTGCTGCTATTACACATTATGCTAGTAGATTTTTATCTGTAAATTGTTACTTTGGCCTGGGATTAATTCATAGGATTGTTATTTTTGAATGTAAGAGTTCCAATATGAATTCAAATAACCTAATGTAAATAGTGGATCTTGTTATCTCACTGATCGAATGCATTAAAATATCAGTTTATTTACCACTTTACCTAATGCTGTTGTCTTAGTTATTTTTGTATTTCAATGATAAAAGACTATGACCACAGTAACTTAGAAAAAAAAGTGTTTATTAGGGTTGCATGACATTAGAAGGTTAGAGTTCATGACCATCATGATGACAAACATGACAGCAGAGAGACAGGCGTGGTAATAGAGAAGTAGCTGAGAGCTCACATTTGATCCACAAGCAGGAGGCAGAGAGAGAGAGAGAGAGACAGACAGACAGAGACAGATACAGAGAAACTAGAATTTGTATAGGCTTTTAAAACCTCAGAGCTCACTCCCAGTGGCACACCTCCTCCAGCAAAACCACACCCCATAATTCTTCCTGAACAGTTCCACTAACTGAGCACTAAATATTCAAACATATGGGCCTATGAGTGCCCTTACGCCAGGACCACATCTATGACAATAAACTTTTGGTTTCCTACCTTTCTTATGGATAAAAAATGATAATAGAGATCAGTTTTTACTCCATGTTTGTTATGAGAAAAAAAATCTTTTTAAAAGGTTATTGTAGTTTTCATACAAACTAAGTATATCTTATATCAGTTTTTCTATGTAAGTGAATTTTTCTCAGTATTAATTATTTATCTTAATTTTCAAGGATGTTTGCTGTTTTCATGAAATTTAAAGCTTAAGCTTTAGAAGTCATTCTTTGTTTGGGAAGTAAATAAAAATATTATATATATAAAGTATTTTCTTTGTATGGCTATTTCTTCTAAAGTGATGATATTTTTATAAATAGAAATATTATAATTTATGTTAATTTCTGTAGCATTGCCTTATCATTCAAATTCACTTTAATTCATGGGAATTTTACCACCAGGTATTTATGTTTGTTCATTCATTCATATAAACTATGAAATATAAATGTTGAAATATGATCTTAAATATTTCTGCCTAAAAATTTCTTCCTTTATCTTTGTATGGACTACTATAAATTATGCTCCTAGATATTTGACAACTGATTATTCTGTGAGTGAAACTTTTTGCCCAATAACATCCAAGTGATAACTAGAAATAATGAAAATGATTCATATATTTTTCCTTTATGAAACACTGAATTAATGTCTGGGACTTCTAACACTCGGTGTCTAACAATTGCTTTATATAAAAGGAGTAGATATTCAATTTGTAGAGTTAAGCTTTTAAGTCATGTCTCTCAAGTCTTCATTTCCTTAGATGTTTGCGTCATTTTCTACAAAAATGTAATTATCATTTTGGTGCCAGTCTCTCAACAAAAGGTGACTATAGAGTTCAGCGTTCTCTATATGAACCCCTGTAGGACATAAGGAATGAATATATGATCTATTGTTACTCACTTGTGTTTTAATAATGTAGTGTAGTAATGTCTTTCTTAACAATGACAGCATTTCTGTGTATTCTAGACTCAGAAGCTTATTATGGAGCATGTGACAAAACCAGACAAGTTTTCTGCATAAGTTACAATCATTCTTTCAGAAATATATTCTCCATACAATGCAGTCTGCAAAGCTTTAAGTGTTTTATGATTTTTTTATTATAGGGTTCAAATAAATGTTGTTCACCAAAATATTTTGTACTTCCTCCAAATAGTAAACATCTTCATCTTTGTCTTCATCTTCTGAGCTGAATTTATCAATCTGTGCTTCATCACAATCTATAGAATTCATGCAAATATGTACCATAGAAGCTAGAAACAGCCATTGTTCTAATTTTATATTATTATTGAACACACCTTAAGAGGATTCAGGGAAGTGGGACCTTTGTGCCCACTAATTTCTGGACAGCCTCCTTCACATCCTTGTTTCTCAGGCTGTAGATTAGAGGGTTGAGCATGGGGTTGACAACTGTGTAAAAGATAGATGCCACTTTGACCACCTGCCGGGAGTTTTTGGAGTTGGGTATACAATACAGGGAAAGTATGGTTCCATGAAATATGGTGATGGCAGTCAGGTGGGAGGCACAGGTAGAGAAGGCTTTGCGACGTCCACTAGTAGATTTGATTTTTAATACCGTCACAAAAATGAACATGTAAGATGTGAGAATGATCAGTAGTGTACTTACTTCATTGAAGGTTGCAAAACAAAAGAGTAGCAGGCTGGGGATGTGTATATCAGAACAAGAGACAGCAATGAGGGCAGTGTATTCACAGAAAAAGTGATTGATGACATTAAATCCTGAAAACTTGAGCTGGAGAGCATAGCAGAGGAGAATCAAGGTGGCAAATGTGCCCCAGAGATATGATCCGGTTACGAGCAGGATGCACAGCCTCTGTGACATGGCCACAGTATACAGCAAGGGATTACAGATAGCCACAAAGCGATCATAGGCCATCACTGCCAGCAAGTAGGACTCAGTCACAACAGCCACACAGGACAAGAAGTACTGCAACATACAGCTGAAGTAGAGGATAGTTTTATCAGCCAGGACCAAGTTCTCAAGCAGCTTGGGAGTGATGATGGTTGAGTAGCAGAAATCAACAAAAGAAAGGTGGCTGAGGAAGAAGTACATGGGAGTGTGCAACTTGGGGTCAATATTAATAAGCACTATCATCCCAAGGTTTCCCACCACAGTGATGATATACATAAAGAGAAAGACCAGGAATAGGGGGATCTGAAGCTCAGGGTAGTCTGTGAAGCCCAAAAGGGCGAAGATAATCTCCACACTCACATTTCTTTCAGTTGGCACCATAACTCCTATCAGTGAGCAACCAAGCCAGAAGAGTCTCCTGTTTAATTCAAAATTATGTGAGAAATGTCAAATTATTCTAAAAGAACAATAAAAAATGCCACTATAGTTTGATTATTTGCTCAAATCTAACATTGAGACTTTTTTTTAAATTCTAACAAATAAAAGATTAGAGAAATATAAGAGAAAAGATAGTGATACCATTTGCCATCTTTTGTATTATAGTACCACCGAGGCCTGGGCAGATTCAGAAGTTTAATGCTTTCATTATTAATGGATTGCCAAAGGCTGAGGCAAAATATCTGTATATGTATACACCTGTCCCCTGAATATTATTGTCTCTGCATTAATTACTTTACATAGAAAGGAAGATCAAAGAGCATCTTAGTTACAATGTCAGGAGAATAATATTTTCACAGTAGTGAAAGAAATCTGAATAAACTTACTTGCTACAGAGAAAGAGTCACCATGATCCTGGTGTTTTGTGGATGGAGCACAGCAGGAAGAAAGACTGTATATATTTACCTCCTATCTCTGGGGACTAAAACTCTAGAGAAAATACAAGAAAATTTCAATACAGGCCTCACAGAGCAGACAATTAAGATGAATCCATATCTTCTTTTGATGAATCTTTAATAATGAGACTTTCCTTGAAATGACACAGAAAACACAGTGCCATAATGTTCACTCTTAAGCTTTGTTAATATATAATTAAGACTCAGCCACAGACATTAAAATAACATCCAGACAATGCCTCTTCTACTATTAGGTCAGTGGACCTCTTTGGATTTGGGGAAGAATATATAGCAATTTTAGGCAACTAACTCAATCATTTTTGTGAAACAATCCAAAAGGTTATGTATTTTGTGTAAAAAAAAAAAACAAAGCATAATAAAACTGTCTACTTGTCCAGTGTACAATGCAAGCCACCATTCCATTTGGGCTATATAACCTAGTACTCATGACATTTCCTAAGGAGCATTTAGTAGATAGAACTTATTCAGAGCATTGGGTACACCACACAACAATTTATTGAGTAGATCTTCAGTATTTTCAAGGAACACAATAAAAACTCTCTGAAGATAACTTTTCATTTTAAATTTTTCAGTCACCCATTTTTTTCTTTTATTGAAAATAGCATTTTCCCTTACATGATATATCATGATTATGGCTTCTCTTCCATCTGCTACTCCAAGTTCCTATCCATCTCCCCTGCCATTTAGAGCCACCCCTTTCTTTCTCTCATTAGAAAACAAAATGGCTTTTAAGGGATAAAAACAAAATTTAAGATAAAACAAAAACTACTACATTAGAATAGTATAAAACAAAAGAACAGAGAAAAAAAAAGAGCCCAAGAGAAGGCACAAGAAAGAGATATAGACAAAGAAGTCCACTCATTCACACATTCAGGAATCCCATAATAACACTAAACTGATATATAATATATATCCAAAGACCTGCAAGTTAGAAAAAGAGAATATGAAATAAATGAAATAAAGTAAAATCAAAAATAAGATTAAAAAATAAAGCCTTGGCATGATAATACAAGACAAGGAAACTCCAAAGATTCCTTTAAGTTCAATCTCTGTTGGCTATCTACTGCTGAGCATGTAGCCTATAGTTAAAAGTATTTTGTTTCACTAATGAGACTCCCTTGGAGAAAATGAAATTTTCTTTTGTAAGTAGTAATCAATTGGGAATAACTTCTGGGTTAGAATTGAGGGCATTTTGCCTTTCTCTTTCCTTCCTCTAAACCACCCAATATACACCTCCTGTTGCCTTTCAATTTCACTGCCTCTGTTCCATTGTTGTTACATGCATATTCATATAATTTTAAGCATATATATTCCTAAAAAAAACTACTTATTCAATCTATACTATTACTTGTATGTATGAGGGTTTTGTATTAAGCTGCTGCCCGGTATCAACCACTCATTTCAGTGCTAAAATGTCAGACACTACACAGACCAGTTGATATTGAAGATCATACTATCTGGCCAAGCCATTCTGTGACACTTCAGCATACCTTACTATGGCTGAGTGATTGCTACTAGGCAATTGCTACCTGCTTTCTCATTATGAACTGGTGTTGACTATCCGTTCAATATGGGAAATTAGTCATGCCCATAAATCACTACATTAGAATAAATTATCAATGCTCACATTTCATTATCTTGCTTTATATAGTCCTGTCTTCTTCCTGAGCTCAGAGCTCTCTCATATTCTTGGTGGTAATTTGAATATAGAATAAAACAACAGAGCCCATTTTCACGTGACTTCTCTTGATAGATTGGGACAACACAAAAGTAGAGAGCAACAGAACTAGAGTCCTGCTGTGCAGTGGTCCTGAACACCACCAATGACCATTCAGTTTTCTAGTGCTCTGTGATAGGAATTCCCACCATGCCCCCATGGTCACGCATGCCCAGTGGGACACTTAGTCATTTCTGGGTTATATGTGGTGCGTGACCCATGACCCTGTGACTGCAGGGTTGCATAAAGTGCGCAATGCAACGATGTGAACTATGCGTATGCGTATGCGTGGAATAGCCACATGGGCCTGTGTGCGCAGGTGCTGCTTGGCCTTTAAAAGCCAGCCCCCATGTTCGCCCGCCCCCTTCACACACGTGTCCTTTCAGCAGGCCTGATCACTTCTATCCTTTTTTCCTCATCTTAATAAAACTCTTGTTAGTGGATTCTGTCATGTTTTGTGACTTTTCCTCTCAGGGTAAGAGCACCACTAAAAACCAACACTCTGTACATATATGAATGTAACAATAATTAAGAAAAATGTGGTCCTGCATTTGAAAGGAACTAAGAAGGGGTATATGGAGGAGAAATGATGCAATTACATTATATCTCAAAAATAAAAGAAATAATAAAAAGTATGCCTGGTACATTGGGATTACCTTTTAATATAAATCTTCAGACAAGGTCAATAACAAGGATATAAACAAATGGAATATTATCCTCAAAATATACTATATACTTATAACCTACAAACAGTATTTAATTACATATCTCCAGTGATTTATAAGACCCAGAAGTAATGCAGTTACAATAAAGATTGGAGATCCTCATTCCATTTTTGCCATTATTTATTTGGTAAGAATTTTTATAAACTATGCATTGTAGTAGGTTAAGACCCTTATCTCCCAAAGACATAATGCTTCCCGTGTGGAACACAGTCCTAATGGTGATTAGAATTTATCAATGGGAGCTTTGGCTCCAATGCCTGCATATTTGTTGTAAAGTAATGGAGCCCAAGTAAAACCAGTGAGCCAGTAAAGAATTCATAGATTAGGGCAGAATCGAATTATTTTTAGGTACTTTCTCATCAAAAAGCCAAAATATGTTCAAATTATTATTATAAAAATATGGTTATAAAAACAAATTGTAATGTCATAATTAAAGGAAATTCAGACCCCTATACTTTCAGTTGAGTTTATGGCTGCAGCTGTAACACTTGTAGTGGGTAACATATTTATCCATATTTATGTGGGCTTAGACATATAGAGCCAAAGTATAAATCATTATGAAAATAAGGTATACAAACTACTTCTTGTCATTACCAAATTATAGGAAACTAAGGTACCTTTTTTCAAAATGCAGATGAACAAATGTCTTTTCCCTTTAGTTATCTATGTTAACCTAAAAATACAAATATGAGATTTTTGAGGTCCTGTAAGTATAGGGTTATCATTAATATACTTCATTATATTAATGATTTACAGTTCTGGTGACAGAAATTATGAATAAAATGTATTTGGTCCTAAAAATTTATTGTCTTTTCCTATCTTTTAAAATACCATTATCTAGCATGTAAAGTCATTGGTAAGTATTGTAGACATCAACAATTAACAGCACGTGAGTTTAACTTTTTAATATTTTTTGTTACGGCCTTGTTCCAGCACTGTGGGACCTACATTATTAGTCTCTCACAGAGACAATCACAAACTCAGAATCATACTGTATGATTACCATCATTGACACATTTGCATACTTGCCAACTGCGGAACCAACATTTGCATCAGAACCTCTAAAAGCTAAGAGACTTTTGAGGCACCTCATATATTAGTTAGAGATTTAATATGATCCCAGTCAAAAACCCCAGAACAATTCTTCATAGAAATAGAAGAAAAATCAGAAATTATATGGAAACACATAGATGGTGGGGACCCATTCTTTAATAAGCAAATTATAGTCCTTTTCTGAATCTCAATAGGAACATTAGGATAATTACATAGAAGGGCAATTACATCTCATCAGTCCTACTCTCAAAGACATAGAAACACAGCTATTATGAGGAAGTTAACAAAATATAATCCACATGAATGCTTATGTACAATACAGAATATGTATAACTGAGGTGAAAATGAACACATATGATGTCAGAATAATCAGCAGGCTCCTGACTTCATTGAAAACAGCAATAATAAAACATAGCATCTGGCTGATGTAGGGGTCTGAGCAGGAGACAGACACAATTACAGAGTGGTCGCAGATAAAATTATTGATGATGCTAGATTCACAATAGGAGAGTGCAAGAAGAAAATATGTGAGTGTCAGGGAACACACTATGCCCCATGTATAAGTTCCAGCCATCAGAAAGGTGCACAGCTCGGAGACATAACAGCAGTATAGAGCAGGGGTTTACAAACTGGTTGTAAGCCATTGCTGCCAACATGAAGGTCACTGCTACACCAAATGCAGGCACAAGAAAACTGCAAGATACAGCCATAGAAAGAGATGGTCCTATCCTCCACAACCAAGTTCTCCAAGCGCTTAGGTGTGACTACAGTGGCGTAACAGAAATCAACAAAGGACAAGTGGCTGAGGAAGAAGTACATGACGGTGTGATGTTTGGGATTTGTGTGGATGAGTATCATCATCCCCACATTCCCAACCACTGTTATCGTGTAGATGAGAAAGAAGAGCAGGAAGAGTGGGACCTGTAGCTCTGGTAGTCAGAAAAGCCCATGAGAATAAAATCCGTATGTTGCT